ATCAGCTGATTTTTCATTAAATTTATGTAAAGATTCTAAAAAACATGCTAGCAAAGAAAATCTAGCCATAACTGAAATAATATTAATATTTATTAACTAGTATTTAATGATACTAGTATTTACACTAAGAATGGGGTGACAGTATAATAACAGACATATTTATGATAGCGTTCCTCAAAAAAATAAGATGAAAAAGTAGATCCAATAATTTTAAGAAGTTTACAAAGGCATTCTGTAGTATTCAGAAATTGTTTATAATAAAAAATAGGGGCACCTGGCTGGCTCAGTCAGTTGAGCAGCAACTTTGGCTCAAGTCATGATATCAAGGTTTGCGAGTTTGAGCCCCTCATCAGGCTCTGTGCTGATGGCTCAGAGCCTGCAGCCTACTCCAGATTCTCTGTCCCTCTCTCTCTGCCCCTCCCCCATTCACACTGCATCTCCCTCTCTCTCAAAAATAAAATAAACATTAAAAAATAAATAAATAAAAGATTAAAAATTAAAACCTTAAGAAAACAGGAAGAAAGCCAATTCCTTAATCTAATGCATATATTTAATAAAAAGCCTACCAATAAAATAGAAATAGAGGAAAAACAATATGAGAAAATCTGTAACCTTCTTATGCAGAAGTATTTGAGTATTATCTTTATATAACATACAAGTAAAAAAGATTTCTAATCAATTTTGCACTAGAGTTCCAAGCCGATTAAGCCAAAAGTAAAAACTATGGAACACAAGAAATAAAATCATTACTGCTTTTGAAAAATATGATTTTATTCATTAAAAATCTCTTCCAATTAATAATAAACTCCTTGGATTTGCAAGAGTTCAAATCAGTATACAAAATTTAACAGCATTCTTATATTCCAAAGAAAATCAGGAAGTGTTTGCTTTTTTAAAGCCTCTCTTTGCAATAAGAAGAGACTAACATAAGATACTTGAAGATAATCCTAAACAAATAGTCACAAGACATATATGCAAAAATATATTTTAAAAAATCCCTGAGTGATATATATATAAAAAAGATTTAACTACTGTGAGAGATATATAATCCCATTGATTAGAAGACAAAAAAATATAAAGGTTTCAATTTGCCACCCAAATGAATCTATAAACCCAAGAGAACAACAAAGAAAACTAATAGCATATTTTATTGAACTTAATAGGTTATTTATACACTTTGTTTGGAAGGTGAAGTCATAGGAATCGCTAAGAAAACAATTTTGTTTTAAGAGGATGGAGATTGCCTAAATGGGAATCAAGACATGATATATAACTCTATGAAGGGAAACAAAAAGAAACATAAACTACTGGGACTTCATCAAGATAAAAAGCTTCTGCATAGCAAAGGAAACAATCAATAAAATTACAATGCAGTCTGTGAAGTGGGAGAACATATTTGTAAATGACATATCTGATAAAGGGTTAGTATCCAAAACCTAAATAGAACTTACCAAACTCAACACCCAAAAAATACATGATCCAGGTAAGAAATGGGCAGAAAACATGAATAGACACTTTTCCAAAGAAGACATACAGATGGCCAGTATACACATGAAATGATGCTCAACATCGCTCATCATCAGGGAAACACAAATCAAGACCACACCGAGATACCACCTCACACCTGTTGGAATGGATAAAATTAACAACACAAGAAACAACGGATGCTGGTGAGGAGGTGGAGAAAGGGAACCCTCTTGCACTGTGGTGGGAATGCAAACTGGTGCAGCTACTCTGGAAAACAGTCTGGACACTCCTCAAAAAGTTAAAAATAGAACTACCCTATGATCCGGCAACTGCATTAGGCATTTACACACAGAATACAAGAATACTGATTCAAAGGGTACATGCACACAAATGTTTATAGCAGCACTATGTACAAGAGCCAAGTTATGGAAAGAGCTCAAATATCCACTGACTGATGAGTGGAGAAAGAAGATGTGGTATATGTATACACTGGAATATTATTCAGCCATCAAAATGAATGAAATCTTGCCATTTGAAACGATGTGGATGGAGCTAGAATGTATTATGCTAAGTGAAATAAGCCAGTCAGAGAGAGACAAATAGTGTATGATTTCACTCATATGTGGAATTTAAGAAACAAGAGATGAACATATGGGAAGAGGGGAGAGAGAAGAGAAGGAAACAAACACAAGAGACTCTTTTTTTCCTTAAAAAAATTTTTTTTAATGTTTATTTATTTTCGAGACAGACAGACACAGAATACGAGTGGGTTGGGGCAGAGAGAGAGGGAGGCACAGAATCTGAAGCAGGCTCCAGGCTCTGAGCTGTCAGCACAGAGCCTGACACGGGGCGTGAACTCACGAGCTGTGAGATCATGACCTGAGCCGAAGTCTGATGCTCAACCGACTGAGTCACTGAGTCACCCCCTAACACAAAGGACTCTTAACAACAGAGAACAAGCTGAGGGTTGAGATGGAAGGTGGGGGATGGGCTAGATGGGTGATGGGCATTTAGGAAGCCACTTGTTGGGGCATCTGGGTGGCTCAGTCAGTTGACCATCCAACTCTTCATTTCCGCTCAGGTCATGATCTACCGATTCGTAAATTTGAGCCTGGCATGGGGCTCTGTGCTGACAGAACCTGTTTGGCATTCTCTCTCTCACTTTCTCTCTGCCCTTCCCTCACTTGTGCTCTCTGTCTCTCCCCCAAGATAAATAAACAAACATTAAAAAAAAAAAACAAACAGGAGGGCACTTGCGATGAGCACTGGGTGCTGTATGTTGATGAATCACTGACTTCTACACCTGAAACCAATACTGCACTGTATGTTAACTAACTAGAAATTAATCTTAAAAAATGAAACTAAAAAGTGAATTCAAAGATGATAAAAAAAAAAGAAGGTGCATAAACCAAGGGCAGGACTTTTTAAAATGCACAAAATCAATAAAATATCCATTCACTCAGTAAAACTACAAATATTCAATAATGACTGTATGGCAGGCATTTGGCACTGAGAACAAAACAAAGTTCCTCTCCTTATGGAGCTTGTACTTTAACAGGGAACAGGGAGAGAATATATAGAAACTAAATAAATACACAGTTTATCAGCAGAGTAGACGTGATGTAGAGAGGGAGCCCACCATGGGACATGTGAAGGAAGAACATTCCAGACAGAGGGAAAAGCGAGGAGAAATGGGCTGAGACAGGAACATGCTTGACGTGTTTGAGCAGAAGCAACGAGATGATGGCTGGAAATCCACAGACAAAGAGGAGTGGTGGAAAGTTAGGACAGGAGATCAAGGAATTCACCATGTCCAGACTATATAATGTGCCATTGCTATAAAAGACCTTCCACTTGTACTCTAAGATAGAAAACTGTAGACAACGTTGAGTGGATGAATGAATTAAATGGTCAGAGTTACATTTTGTCGAGATCAGTCTGGCTCCCGGGTGGAGATGAAAGTGGGAAGGATGAGGCCAAGGTAGACCCAGAAATAGGACTTGGAAGGCTATGGCAAAAATTCAGAGTTGAGGGCAGTCCAGATCTGGATGACAGATGCAGAGGGCAATCCTTGCGTCCTGAAGGTAAAGCCGACAGAACTGGAGAAAATGAGGGAAAGAGTGTAGGACTTGAATGTTCTACTCTCGGACACTAGAAGAATAAAATGGAAAACATTCTAACAGGGGGTAGGTTTGGGGGCACGGAGACATCTGGTAGGCAGTGAAATAGATGCCCATTGGATACCGGCTATATGAGCCCGGCACTCAGGGGGCAGGCATGGGCTGGAGGGGAAACTTTTGTGCTGTCCTCCTATGTATAAACGGTATCAAAAACCAAGCTGCTGCCTGAGGCTGCTGAATGAAGGAGGACAGACAGAGCGGAGGCCCCGAGATGGGAAGTCACTGGCCAAGTTCACCAAGAAAAGCAGCCAGTGACGTCATGGGGGAACGAAGACAGGCTTGTGATCTGGAAGGCAAAGGAATGAAGGGTTTCCGGAAGAGGAGCAAATATCACTAGGAAATGCTTCTAACGTCAAAAACTGAGACAGTACCTAATGTGTTGATTCTTATAAATATCTGTCATACATTGTGAAGCTGTAAAAAAGCAAATGACTGACAAGATGAGGGAAGAGTTAGAGGTAAATGTGTTAATCTATTGGGGAAGAACAAACTGTCCCAAAACTCAGTGGGTCAGTCACCCGTGTGGTCCTTCTGGTCTCTGGGATTCTCCATTTGTCTGAGATCACCGGCACACAGGCTAGGAACCTACTGACATTTCTGGGATCGTTTATGTATTAGTAAAACGTCTGGCTTTGGAAGCCTGAAGCTGGTCTCCAATGGCCTGCCGGGGCCACTGGGCTCTTCTCCACGTGACGTCTGTCATCTTCTAGCAACCCAGCCCAGGTGTCCAAGAGGGGGAAGAGTGCCATGCCTCTGAAGACCCGGGCACAGAGAGTTGCGGTGTCCATTTCCTGCATGATGGCGGCAAGACCAAGTGGTAGGTGAGCTACCAGTCAGAGCAGAGGGTTCAAAGAGACTGGAGATGCAGGCCATCAACAAAATCAGTATTGCACTGAGTGCTTTTTACAAGCACAGGAACAAAACTTTCAATGATGCGAGCTAAGCATATACTGGGGTTACTTTGTAGTGTGAGACTATTTGGGTGGATGATCTTATTTCATTTCATAAAAACTGTGTTACTTAATTGCAATTGCGAACCCATGTTAAAAAAAAAAAAACAAAAAAACCTCTAATTTTAAGTAAAAGAGTCAACCAAGAGAAATATACACATTTTCCCCAGAACTGACAAGCGGGCAGATGAGGAACAAGAGAAGAAAAAAGATCGCTTATCTGGGTTTTTAAAAACAGTGACAGGGAGTACCCCTGTGTGTCACTTTCCAGCTCCAGTTAAACCACGCAAACTCACACGTCATTCAGGGGTGGAGCGGACCTCCGTCCAGGGAGGCCTCTCTGCCATTGGGTGGCTGACAGATGGCACCGAGACAAACGAGGGTCTATCTGACTTATTAACTGTGTCAAAAATACACTGCAACACAGAACACAGCAACTGTGAGACAGAGGAAAGAAAAGCCAGGTTTTGCTTCCTGTTTTTCAAAGGAAATAAGGTATAGATCCGAAGACGGGTCAAATTCTTTCTTTGCAAAGACAAAGGAACCTGAAAAGCTGTAGTTTCCCGTTTAGATTTGGGTAATAGCAGCCAATCCATTGAGAGCAGAGATAGAAGGCTGCTTTCACTTTCACTCCTTTTCCTGCCCAGAGAGCCTCAGCAGCAACAGCCGGTGAGTGGCTCCAGTTTTCCATCGTTTATGGCCGTGTTTGAGGGAATTACAGGAGGACGAGGAGTGGGGGACACAAGGGGGACTCGCGAGGTACCCTGGGGATGTAAGGGATTGGGGCTCAGGGCACGGAGGCAGGTAGGCGAGCAGACGAAGTATTTTAGGCAAGAAGTTAGACCTTCTAGGAAAAGGAAGGAGATGTAAAAAAAATCTGGAGCTACCTTCTTAACACTTTGCTGCGATTTTAGCCCTTTCTGTGAACTCACGCTGAGAGTTCTTACCCGTTTTACGAGTGTCCTCAGCAGGGTGAGGGGCCGTCCATGGGGCATTTCATTTCCTCCATGCTTCTGCTCCCTGTGTGACCTCTCATGAACAGCAGGGACCAAACGAGCCACACTGTGTTCTCTCAGTCTCTGAGGCCAGAGTCACCCTGCAGCCCTTCCTCGGAACACAAACAGGGGTCCTTTCCTAGATGCTAATATGTCCGTGCTTTACTGGTACACTATTGATGATGGCAGGTTTTTAAATGAGTAGTGATAAAAGTGACAGGAAGTAAAGAGATCATAGGTGACACCAAGACAGAACTGAGTCAGCCATCACCAAGCTAGTTAGTGAGGCTGCTTTCTCTCTGTGAGCCTCACTTTCTCCACCTGTAAAAGAGCAGAATCTTGAAGGCGACTGGTGCTACTCTAAGTGTGGTCATTGGGCAAGGGGATTTGCCATGATCTGAGACGTTGGGAGAAATGAAAATAACACACTCCACCCTGATCATGGAGATCAGATGTCTGGGAATGAGGAAGTTCTATTTACCGAGCTCCCAGATTCTGTTGCATGTTAAAATTTGAGACCCATGGGCCTAGAATCCAATATCTAAAGTCTGTCCATACCTAAAACCCTATTGTTCTCACAGACAAGACATCACCCCAAGGTCCGGCCCTACGACAAAACGGGGATGGCCGGCAATAGGGTGAACGACTTTATTGAGGACTTGAAGGGAAAGAAGGTGTTAACAAAGCAAGAGTTACGTGCATTAGGGAAAAGAGTGGACCTCATCGTGGATAAGACTGAAGGCCTGATTGATGGTCTCAATGAGAAATCGGGAATAGTAGGAAAAATGTTAGTGAAAAGTATCTTCGGTCCCAAAGGCGAGCTGGCTTTAGGTGAGTATCTTGGGTCAAGGGACAGGTAACTCATTGGTTACCTGCGCTCCTTATGCTGCTTCTGTGTTATTTCTTTTTTTTTTTTTATAAATTTTTTTTTCAACGTTTATTTATTTTTTTGGGACAGAGAGACAGAGCATGAACGGGGGAGGGGCAGAGAGAGAGGGAGACACAGAATCGGAAACAGGCTCCAGGCTCCCAGCCATCAGCCCAGAGCCTGACGCGGGGCTCGAACTCACGGACCACGAGATCGTGACCTGGCTGAAGTCGGACGCTTAACCGACTGCGCCACCCAGGCGCCCCTGTTTCTGTGTTATTTCTATTTGCAAGTGGAGAATCACCTATCCACATGTCTAGTCCCCTCTCTGCCTATCATACTTAAGACTGTAAAATGTCCCGGTCCGCCCCAGACCCTCTGCCAGCATCTGCAATCACTTTATACTGCTGCACCTTTTCTTTTCTCTTCAGCATCTGTCACCTTCAATCATTCCATAACCTCTCTCAGTCACTGCCGTGTCTCCCCCGCTAACACATAAACTCCATGAGGCATAGATCTGTGTCGGCTTTGTCCAGAAGGTAGCCCGAGCTCCTGGAAACGAGCCCTGACACATAATAGGTGCTGAGTTAACGTCTGTTCAGTGCGTAAATGGTGCTCGGGCTCTAGGAAATTCTGGGACAGCCTTTAGCCAGTCTGTGGGACACTGGCCATACGCTGTGGACTCGAGACCTATCCCCAGATGTGAAATGTTCCATAGAAACAAAAAATCCACCATCGTCTGCTCACGTGTGGCTTAGCCCAAGGAATAAATCTCTGAGCACCTAGATCGGTCCTTGTTAAAGGAGTACAGAGGGAACGTAAGGGCCCGTGGCGCATCAATATGTCTTTGAAGTGTGGGAGGCACACTTTTCCTATGAAGGGTCAAGCGTCACCATTTTAAGCATTTACGACCAAACGTTCTCTGTCACAGTAACTCCAATCTGATGCTGTGGCATAAAATTAGCAACAGACAATAAGTACAAAGTGAGCGTGAGTGTGTTCCAATAAAGCTTTATTGGCCAACACTGGTGTGGATGGAGTTTGGCCTGTAGGCCACGGTTTGCTGTCCCTCTCTACAGTATAATATACACATGAGGATATTCTCAAAGCCTGCAACATCCTTCTGGGATTATTCTGTCGTTACTCAAAGACTAACTTTACAGAGATGTGCACTTCCCTTCCTCAGAACGAAAAATGCCATTGCAGAAAACTGTGATTAAAGAATTTGATTATTCCTGAAATCACATGAGCAGGAGCATAATGAGCCCTTCGTTGTTTCACGGAACCTCTGCCTCCTCCTTCACTTGGCATAAAGTCACAGGCCTTAAGAAGCAAAGCTGGAGCTTAGAAAACGAGCCAAATTCCCATGCTTCATAGGGAAGGCGCACGCTGAACAGAGTCCTTTACTTGTGATCGCGAGGGAAAGAGTTTCGAGTATGGAGGTTCTAGAAACTTAGGTCTGCTAACAAATCTTCTTTTCGATTATTTCAGAAATTCTTGATGAAATTGAGAATTATGACTCTGACAACAGCGGGTCATATTCCTCTTCGACAGGTAAGTGCCCTCAAATCTCATGTGATGACAAAAACTTCTAGGGGTGTCCTCAGGCCCTGCAGTAAAGAGTTAGGAAACCTGAGTTTTCAGTTACCATCTCTGCAAATGATCTACAGAGAAGAGCAAGGATATTTAACTTCTCATTCATTCTACTCCAGAATATGAAGATGAAAGTGAAGAAAGTGAAGAAAATGAAGAAGAGGAAAATGCTGAGTCATCCCAGGAAATGGATCCCCCAATAGTAGAAGACACCAAACCTGCTGGCTCATGTGAACCCTCAAACCTCACTAAGGGTAAGGCCCTACAGTACAGGGGAAAGACCACTGAGATAGGTTCAGAAACTCTGGGTTATTTCTAACTTCCTCACTTTCCCCCCCGGTGACAAGCAAGGTCAACACTTATATCCCTGCTCTCCATCTTCTGAGAATCGGGAAGTGAAGGTGAAGATCATGAGCTGGGGAGAACTGGGGGTCGTAGGCATAGGTTCTCCTACGAGAGGCAGCACCATGGACATGTGGTGACACTACATGAGCTGAGGCAGACAGAAAGGCCCCTACTGGGCAACAGAAAGAGAGCTGGAATAAAACACAAGCCATCTCTGCACTGTGCCCATCACTGCCGCTGACTAACCATGTTCCCTGGTAGAATTATCTTAACTTTTCTGAGACTCATTTTTTTTCTGAGTCTCACATTTTTAAAGGAGATTAATAACATCTATAAAGATGCATAAAACGTCAAAGAGAGATCAACTAACAACTGCACAAACAGAAGAAGGAAGTGGTTAAAAAAGACACGTTAAAAAAAGCACAACAGGACCTGTCACACATACCGTGTGATCACTAAAGAAACTGATGACTTACTGAACCACATTCGAGAATCGTAGTGCCTAGAAAGGAGTGATAGCGCTGTTGTGTTTTGATTAGCATGTTTTCAGAAGTTCTGGACAAGCTTACAAAGGCATAAACGTTTTGCCATCTTTATTCACTGTCTTATCTATTCATATATCCGTACGTATATATGCATATATTAGCTAAAAACCTATATATGCTGTTCTAATCACTGTGTTTATAGCAGGAAGCGAGATAAAGATCCTGCTTTTATGCAGTTTACAGTGCAGTGAAGGTATTTATATAGTAAGAATGACCAAAATGCAAGCGTAATTCGGGGGATGGAGAAGAGAAAAGAGGCGAGGCATGTGGGCCAGGATGAAGAGCTATGAGAACTCATCTGACGTGATATTCGGGACAGTGTGACCAGTTGGGATGGGATGTGTCATACTCTGAGGCCAAGGCCTTGCAGGGAAGAAGGAAACAATCCCAAGAGCTCTCAGTCAGAAATGGTCTTGCCGTGTCCTAAGATCAATCTGATGGGACAGTAGGAGATTAGGAGGGACGTGGTAGAAGGAGCTGTTAGGATCTCAGCTTGGAGCTACCATACTATTTAGAGCCTTTTAGAAAGTGGGAAAGTATCGGGATTGTATTTGCAATAGAAAGGCCCTTAGAAGTTTTTAGGTGGAGGAGTGATAAACCAGCATAGCATCAGAAAGGTCAAATATGTTCAAATGTTTCAGTTAAGAGATCATAGCTTTCAGCTGGTGTCATGGTAGGGAAGATCTCAGATAGTCAAATCTGGAGCTCTCTGGGATGGAGAGTCAACAAAAACTATCCTGGACTGGCTGTGGGCTAAATAAGGAAGAGGAGGAACCAAGGATGATTCTGTGTTTTGGGTAGGCAACTAGGTGAAGGGTGTGAGGAACTGAGATAGCAAAAAACTTGTAGTAGAGAGAAATCTGAGGAAAAACCTATTTGTAGGAGTGGGCAAATATCAGGAGTCCTTCTCTCTACACATTTACTTTGTTGCCTGGATCACATCCAAGGGTACAGGTTGAATACACAGGTAGATTCAGCCGCGTTGTTCACAGGGGGACCAGGCACGGGAGTAAATCTCAGGATTCAGCAGCATGTAGACAGTATTTAGGATGACGTGTCTGGAAGAGGCCACCTGGGGAGAGATGCTGACAGAACATCTTAGAGGGTCCAATGTAGAAAGACCCAACTCTGGGAGGCGTGGAGGAAGCACAAGGCTGGCGAAGGGCATCCAGCTTGAGAGAGGACGGTTACCGCACGCAGAGCCTCTGAAGCCTGGAGAACCCTGCTCAAGGAGGAAGGTGTGCTCGACCACGTTTGAATGCTCAAGAAGCAACAGATGGCCAGTGGTGACCTCAATCTCAAGCATTTAAGTGTTGAAAATGACAGTCAGTGTCTACCGCATGAAGAAAAGAGAATGAGACATGAAAATAGCGAAAAGAGATGCCACCTTTAACGAACTGTACTGAGAAGCAGAGCGGGGAAACACAATAGCTGGATGGGACACCAAGCGCAGGGGCAGAGTGCGTAACAGATAAAGGGATATCAAGGCATGTGATACGCCAGCAGGGAGAGCACAGCAGGGGCAAGAAGGGGTACACATGATGCAGAAGACGGGGACGAGGAATCACCCGAGCACAGTTCTCGCAGGTGAGAGGAAATCGAGCGGGAACGTAAGTACAGTCTCTACCCTAAGCCAGGAGGAAGAATGTGCTGTCCTTTGTCGCAGGAGGGGAAGGGCAGAAGGTGGGCAGACGTGCGGGAAAACGAACAGACCTGTTGGTTCGGAAGATGAAACTGTTCTTACCCAGCAATACTGGAAGGGCCGGAAGGCTTGTTTCCCTACGGGAAAACTACAACAAGAAAAGGGAAAGATGCCTGGGAGCTGTGCCAGATAATCATTCTAGGCATAGGAAATACAGAGATTAAACACATCTTCCCTGTCCTAATGAAGCCTACCATACAGCAAGCACAATTAAGAGCTATTATTATCATAGTTTTTAGGGGCACATTTACATAAAGTGATCGAAACACGAGGAGAGAAGCCGTCGAAGTATTAGTGAGCTTTCATGGGAAAAGGAAGGAGACATTTGTCTTGATGGTTCCAATGCAGGAACTATATACACCAGTGCTTTGAAAGCTCACACTCCAGGATCCTCAGAATTGGTCAAAATGCTTTAGAATCCTGCAGGGTCTCTGTTAGTGGAGACACTGCACTGGTGGTAACAATGTGCACAGTAGGGATATTTTAGTGGAGTTAAATAACTGAATAATCACTTGACCAGGCCGCATGAACATTAGGCTTCCTTCCAAATCTTAGGTACTGTGTCTGTGTGAGACTAACGCACGGGGATTGAAAGGTTACTCAATGCCATGGCCACTGACAAAAACAAAAGTTGCCCGTGGGGTCAGTAAGAAGCAGAAAGAAAGATGGTAGTATGAAGATTTCTCTTTTTGCCATTTGTAATACAAAATGATTTTTTTGTTGTTGTTTTATTAAGCCTTTTGAAGGGATGGCGGTGAGCATTTCCTAAGAATGAGAGCCCGGTGAAAAGATCCTCATGACTGCCAGACAGTGGGTGCTACTCCTTAATGAGTAATTTTTTCTCTTGTAGTATTTCAGGTAACCCAGGCTTCCCAAATCAATGTGCTGAAGCTTTGTCCTTGTATCCATTTTAAGGAACCAAAGACAATAATGGCACATGAGGTAATATACTTTGGAATAGGGGCACACAAGGTTGTCCACTCAAACAACACGGAACTCACTGGAAATTTCAGTTCTTGCTACAGATGCCTTAGGATCAGCCCCAAAGGCACAGGATGCTATTCAATCATGTTATCTAATTAAGGGGCCCTTACATCAGATTTCCTGTCTGTTTCATCCCGTCCTCAAACATACTTTAAACTCCTCGCCACCAGTGAACCGAAGCAAGGTTTCCGGAGCGTGTACTCAGAACTACTACACGTTTTTAGTCTGGTGCCTTGTTCATGAATCCCTAGTTCCATCCCCAAGTCCTCCAGCCATCCAATCTCTAATTGTAAGGGCCTATTTTGCATAGGATTTGGAGGCAAAAGTGGGAGGCTGGGTGCAACTCACTCTGTGTCGGTTAACTGCAGATCTATCCAGTGATGGAGAAGAAGAGCCGAATGCGCCTGGCTCTCATCATTTGCAATAGAACATTCGATTATCTTTCTGAGCGAGAAGGCTGTGAAAAGGACATTTCGGGGATGCGAGATCTGCTGGAGAACCTTGGATATTCAGTGGTTATAAAGGAAAATCTCACCGCTCAGGTAATGGCCCCAGAGAGTGGGATGAGTTGGGATGAGTGTCCCTCCTTTCATCTCCTTCCTGGACTTCTTCCTTGGCGGCTGTCAGAACGGAGCGCACGTTACAGAAACTGCATTTCTCTAGAATAGGCATCCTGCACCCCAGCCTCTCCCGACGTACACTCTGAAGGCCAAGACCTAGATGGCAGTAGTTCACTAAACAGGCTGGCTCTTGCTAATGCTCTCAGTTTGGGAGACACCCATCACTTGATACTCTATGTGAGACACCACTCTGAGGCCTTTATAATTTCAGTATCGTGTGTCTGAATGTGAAGCCAAGTAGGCGGTTAAAAAACAAAACAAAACAAGTTTTGCACACATACATACACAGAAGAAGTTGTGATTTTGGCTTCGTCCAAAAAAATACCACGGGAGGCTTTAGACAAACCATTTTAAACCTAGCAAGGAATCTGTTCACGTCTCTACGCCAGTGGAAACAGTCCCTCCGTCTCTGTCTCTGTCTCACTCTTTGTTTAATGAAAACCCAGGGCAACTGCAGCCTGTAACACAGTTGTGAAAAGCGAAGCCTTTGGCAGGAGACCCGTCACCTCACGTGTCCCTCCCTGTACTCCACCTCCTAGCGTCTCCCTCAGTCTAAGGATCTACTGAACACCACCGGTCTACACGCTGTATGAAAAAACCCCGCTTTTCCATTCTATACATCCAGCTTTCTGGCTGTATGTCAGAACGTAATTTCTCGTACAATTCCACTCTGTCCAAATCGTCTGATCACTCCATTTCTGCTGTCTCTCTCTCCCTCTTGCGTGTGTGCGTGTAAAGTCCATGTACTGTGTGAGCACAAAGTAGACACAGACAGCTCCCAGGTGGTAAGTCTGGAAACTCTTTCAGGAAATGAAGGTCGAGCTGAAGCACTTTGCCACCCGCCCAGAGCACCGCTTCTCAGACAGCACGTTCCTCGTGTTCATGTCACACGGCATCCTGGACGGGATCTGTGGGACAAAGCACAGGGAGGAAGAGCCAGATGTCCTTCACGACGACACCATCTTCCAGATTTTCAACAATCGCAACTGCAGGAACCTAAAAGACAAACCGAAGGTCATCATCATGCAGGCCTGCCGAGGCAGTGAGTTGGAGCTGGGGGACGCAGGGGGTGGCCGTCCGCTTTTTTCTGTGATTAGCCTGGTGTCCAGCCTTCGCCTTCCCAGGGCTGAGGGAGAGAAACCACACTGTAGAACGGCACTTGGACCTGCTCCAGAAAGATATGAAGCCTGTATCGTCGTTGAACAAGTGTTAAGTGCACTAGAATAACAGCACGTGTCCCGATCATCTGGGACTAGGTTCTACTAAACTTAAGTGGCCTCTGTGTAGTTCCCAGTCAGTGAGGCAATTTTTCTATCAGAAAGATACTGGCATTTTTAATAAATTCCAGATGGAAATGTATTGAAGTAAAGGTATAAGGGTTAAGAGACATTTTGTGTGTCTGTGTCTGTAACATCTTTTGTAAGACAAGCGTGTCTCTCCCAGAAGGCAACGGGGCCGTCTGGGTGACAGATGTGGGAGAAGCCTGTGCATGGCCGGAAAACCAGCCCTCAGCACCCTACATCTTCAGTGATGCCGTACAAAAGACCCATGTGGAGAAGGACTTCATCGCTTTCAAATCTTCGACTCCACGTAAGTGACTTCAGAGAGAAGCTTCTCGATCTCCTGTTAGTTTCCAGATCACAGGCCTGGCTGTGATCCTATGTGATTGCTGATTGAAAAACATCTCTTCCTTCATGATAGATTTTAGGCAGAGAATAGATTAAAAATACGGAGTTTTTTATAACTAGAAAGCTAGAAGTCTTCATTTTGGAGGAAACATTCAAAATAAACCAGAGTTTTATGAGGATCCAGTGTTACAACAGTCTAACTATAAATCAGAGTTGTTTTTGTTTGTCCAGACAGCAATGGCACATGATTTGGCCCACCTCATCACCTGCTAGCAATTAAACAGGTAATCAGTAAAACTGTAGTACTTTCTTCACACATTCCAGAACCTCTTACATTATTATTTGACTCTAATCTAAAAAAAATTAGTTAATATTCAAATGCCTGACTTCAGCATCATGCAGCCAAGACTGAAAATCCTCCGTTGGCAGCAAAGACAAAGTAGGAAATAGAAACACAAGATATACCGAGCTGATCGTGGTCAAACCTGCAGAAAATCTATTTAACAGTCACCCATGACATTGGGGTGATTTAGAGAACCAGGGCAATTTCAAGAATCTTGTTTACAAAGCCACCGTTATAAGTCCTCTACTGCAGTGATTACCAACTGCGATGTGCACAGACATCCCTTTGGAACGATATTACAGGCAGGGTTCTGATTCAGTGGGTCTGGGGGGGTGGCGAGATGGTGCCTTTCAAAACACCCTGTGGTGAGGCTAGTGCTGTCCGCCCATGGCCACACATGAGCAGCAAGGGACTGGAGGACCCTCTGAGTGTCGTCTGACAGGAAAAGGCTATGCAGGGAACACCCACTCCGTACCTGGAACAGTCATACTTCTCTTTGTTTTACATACTGGAGTTTAAATAAAACTTTATTTGAAAGAAGAGCTCTGTACTTTTAGCAATTAAAGGAAGTTAAGAAGGCATATATGGGCTGGTATGTATCTAAGAGACTCTTTAACTTACTTAAGGAAATGAAGTGTAACATGTAAAGTTCTTGCATTCATTTTTGCACACGTAATGACCTGCTAAGGTAGAGTGAGCACACGGTGTAGGATCCACAAGTGAGGCAGATGTGCTTACTGAACCTCACGGAGCATATGGTCGGAGCAGAGAGGCAGAGGTTAACTCAGGGGAAAATATACACCCACGTCTCACAAGTAGATACTGACTGTCTCTTGACTGTGCTAAGTGTTTTGAGGAATAATGTGTTGAAAGATGAAGGAGTTAACTATGTCAAGGGTAAGCGAGGAACATTCCAGACAGAAAAAGCACAGAGGACCTGGGAAAGAAAGGAGCCTGGAAAACTGGGCCAGTATATCTGGAGCACAGAGCTGGGGCTCAGTGCTGAGAGGGAGGTTGGAGAGGTCAGGAGGGGTCATGCGATTTGGGGCCTCATAGGTTCGGGAAGGATTTGATCTTTTCTGTTTACGTACTTTATTACTAATATTACTTTATACTAATAGTAATAGGAAGTTTTGGTGAAACTTAAGCAATGAAATGGTAAGATTATCATTTTTATAAAACTACTCCGGGGATTCTGTGGGGAATGGATTACAGTACAGCAGGAAATACAGGAGGCGGGTTAAAACGCTACTGCAGGGTTACTGGCCACGGCTGGTAACGGCAGTCTCGGGAAGACACAGCTGTTGAATCCAGAAGGAATTAGTGTATAAAATGTCTAGGACCCAGTGTTGGGAGGATGTGGCAGGTGAGTAAGAAGGGATGACACAGAGGACTCAAGGGATGGTCATGGTGCGTTCATTAAAACGGGAATCCTGCCAGAAAGTGTGAGATGCCTTTGGCATATTTCCAGATGAAACAGAGTTACAAAGCTGTGTACCTCAGAAAAGAGAATGGCACCAGGATTCGGGAGGTGGTGGCTGAGAATTATATCTCGTAGTCTAAAAATAGATGAAATTATACAGGAGCAGAGAACAGACGGAGACGAGATCCCAAAGCTGAGGCTTGTGGATGGTAGAGGTCAAGCTGGGAGGCAGAGTATTTGTAAGTTGGGCTCAGGAAGTTTCCTATCAGGGCATAAGAAAGAAAAGTAAGGGTATGTATGTGTGGTCAGTGTGACCAAGAAAGCCTCCACTGGACTTATGGCCAGTTTCGGATTTAAATGAGAGAGATCAGGTGAAACTCAGCGAGTGACCATGAGATTGAATGACGTGGAGGCCATGAATGGCCTTGAGGAAAGTGACTTGGTAAAGTCAGGGTGGTGGGGGGAGACAGCAGACGGGTGAGCGGGCTAGGGCTCGGAGGATGTGAAGACGGTGGGGAGAGACAAACCTGAGGAATGCAACCATTAAAAGGAGGAAGGAACAGGAAGGGAGCTGCAGATAAAGTGACCATCAGACTATTAGCTTTTTGACGATGGGAGAGATTTGATCACACTGCAATGGTCACGAAAAGTGGTAGCTCAAGAGATGGTCACGATAAAAAACGAGCAAAATATTCCAGGAGAAAACAGAACAGACGAAGAGGAGGTCCAGAATGGCACGACAGGAATTAGTTTCTTTTCCACTACTTGCAGTCCGAGGCAGGTAACTTTGGCTCTAAGAGCGTGAACAGGGTTGATGGCTGAGAGTCCACGACGGTTCTCTCTGGGCCTCCTGGGGACACTGGAGGTCCCAGCTTTGCCTTTCTCTCTCCTCCAAAGCACTAAAATCAAACTATGCCCAAAAGCTCTGACTCTAAGAGTCTTCCACACACAACACAAAGGCCACATCTGCCAGTATTTTAATACCTTTTCTTTGCAGATAACGTTTCCTGGAGACTGAACACAGATGGCTCTGTCTTCATCTCCCATCTTATCCGCTACTTCAAAATGTATTCTTGTTGTCATCATTTGGAGGAGATTTTCCGAAAGGTACAGGTCTTCTGTTTTTTTCAATGTAATCACTGTCCAACCATTCTCAATTTTTTTTGGTGGGTGGGTGGGGAATCCTGAAAGCTCTTAGGCCATCTTGGCATTCCTTCCTGTACTCCACGTTTGTTTAAAGAGGAGGTTTTGGGGAAATATTGCACGGAACCAGTGTGAGTTTTTCTGATTCTGATGGCCTTGTTTATTCAGAAAATGCTTGAGGATACTCCATCATGCATGGATGTACTATAGCCAAGGAAAAGCTAAACGTTTCTTCTGTGTATACCCCCCTGGCCACAGCCTTAAAACATACCACAAATTCTGTGACTCCTGAGAGAGAAGTCCAGATTTCCCTTTTAGGAAGTATCTAAAGATTTTCTTTCCTGCCTTAGGTTCAATATTCATTTGAGACTCCAAATATAATTACCCAGATGCCCACGATTGAGAGACTCTCCATGACACGATATTTCTACCTCTTCCCTGGGAATTAAAACTCATACACAGCATCTCAGGTAAATGATTCCAAGAAGTGGACTTGGGAGCTCCCTGCTCAGAGCCTGTGTGTCAAATACAGACAGAATGGAGGACAGTGACAGGGTGTAGCTGCCTAGTACTGTCCTGTCCCCATGTTCTTTTTTTTTTCAACATAATTCTTAATTTTTTTTTTAATTTACATCCAAATTAGTTAGCATATAGTGCGACCATGATTTCAGGAGTAGATTCCTTAATGCCCCCTTACCCATTTAGCCCACCCCCCCTCCCACACCCCCTCCGGTAATCCTCTGTTTGTTCATCATATTTAAGAGTCTCTTATGCTTTGTCCCCCTCCCTGTTTTTATATTATTTTTGCTTCCTTTCCCTTCTGTTCATCTGTTTTGTCTCTTAAAGTCCTCATATGAGTGAAGTCATATGATATTTGTCTTTCTCGGACTGACCAATGTCACTTAGCATAATACCCTCCAGTTCCATCCCATGTAGTTGCAAATGGCAAGATTTCATGCTTTTTGATTGCCGAGTAATACTCCATTGTATACATATACACCACATCTTCTTTATCCATTCATCCACCGATGGACATCTGGGCTCTTTCCATACTTGGCTATTGTCGACAGTGCTACTATAAACATGGGGGTGCACGTGTCCCTTCGAAACAGCACACCTGTATCCCTTGGATAAATGCCTAGTAGCGCAATTGCTGGGTCATAGGGTAGTTCTATCTTTAATTTTTTGAAGAACCTCCATACTGTTTTCCAGAGTGGCTGCACCAGCTTGCATTCCCATCGTCCCCATGTTCTTAATGACCCTTGGGAAAACCCTGGTTTCATATGAAATTATAAGAAATTATAAGTCTAATGTTTCCCTCCAGTCTTAATGTCTCTCAAGGACCTACCTACTGAATGGAAGATATTTAGTTCCGAAGCTTGCACAAAAAAACTGGATGTTCATATACAGCTGGCGTGAGGCGTCCTCCCAGGGAAGTCAGTTTGGCTGAGTTTCATTCCTCCTGTGTTTGTGATGAGGACTGCCTGTACCACAGTGTCAGTTGGAGGCTGCTGGGTGTGCACCGAGGCAATGAGACCCTAGTGCGGACCTCCCCCTCTGGGGGTGACAGGCCCATAGCCCTTTTGTGAAGGCACAACTCATGGTAGGCATCAGTTCTGTTTATGCCTTACCTCCTATAACCCCTTTCCTTATGTTTCCTTCTCTCTACTTTTCCAGGGAAACTGGGCCATTATGTACTCGACGAACCTACTACTTTAAAAGGGCAATGTCTGCTCGTGAATATTTTTATACGAAACTTCCCAAATGCCCACCTTCAACCAAGGCCAAGTGAAAATCAATGTCATATTGTTGCTGAGTTAGTACTTACTACATTTTTAAAAAATTATGTTTGTTTTCTCACGTTATTGTAAGGGTAAAACATTTTCATTGCAAAACAAAGTTTAAGTATACAAAAACATTTAAAAAGTATTTAATGAATAAGTGATTACATTAATAGGTGTCCTGGTATTAGGCAAAGATCATATTCTCGGGATAAACTCTTCTCTGTTATAAAGGATCATTCACATACTCTCCATTTGGAAGACTATTACTAACATTTGACTTGGGACATTTACATTATAGACTGAATTCTCATTTATTTTGACTCATTTCTAACTTGGCCATAGGATATTTTGATAATATTTTTAAATGAACTACAAGTAGTATTTTTTTTTTTGATTCCTAGAATGTGAAAAATCTTTGTCCCTGAGTTCACTTATGAGTTCTCCTAAAAACATATACAAAGGCGAGTGTGAATTTATTTCTTAGTAGTATGTTTTTATTATCAAAATGTTGATTTTTTTAAAAAAAGTACCCATACATATCTGCATCTGTATACTCATTAACTTTCAAACTATAGATGAAAGCCAATGTGTATAATCACTAAAAAAAAAACAAAAACAAAAAAACAAAAAAAACCTTTATTTTGTTTGAATCTTGAGAACAAGGAGATTATGTAAAAATATCCCTTTAGAACTGAAAGTGACAAAGAGGGAAGTGAAAATCAAGTTCCATGAAATGATTTATGTTCTCTCTCTTCCATCCTGTGGTCTTACTTCCTCTCTCTCTACATACACAAACTCACAGATGAATTTAGAAAGCTAACTGTGTAAGATACTCTATGACCTGTACTTGTGTTGATTCAAAATTACCATCTAGGATTAAAGGGAGATGTGAAGCATCAGTAATATACATAGCCTAAGCTTAAGAGGGTGGGGGAAGGCGATCAAGGGCTGACTGGGGGCTGGGTAGAGTCTCCTTCCTGTCCCTTTTCACTCAGCCCCTTATATTCTGAAGGTCACATCTCCAGCTGTTGGAGCTACACCTCTGAAGGTCAAAAAAAGTGCAGCCTAGTCAGCAAGAAAGAGGAAGAACCAGCAGACACAGGCCCCCACCCTTTCAGGAAGTCTTCTCTTCCTATAAACCAAGAACCACCACTGGGTCCAAAGTAACTCACAGCTGCGCAGAGGTTGAGAAATGAAGTATTTATTCCATGTGTCAAATTCCTAGCAAAAAAACCCTGGGAGTTTCTCTTAAGAAATGGGGAAAAGCAGATATTGGGTCCCTTTGACTGTCTCTGCCAGAGATTGCTTCCACATTTGATGGCTGCCTAATACTGAATTAAAAAAAAATTTTTAATGTTTATTTTTGAGAGAGGGAGTGAGACAGTGTGAGTGGGGGAGGGCCAGAGAGAGGAAGACACAGAATCCGAACAGGCTCCAGGCTCTGAGCTGTCAGCACAGAGCCCGACGCGGGGCTCAAACCACGAACTGTGAGAAGATGACCTGAGCCGAAGTCGGACGCCCAACTGACTGAGCCACCCAGGTGCCCCTGCCTAATGTTGAATTTCATGGATGGATTAGAATGTATTTTATTAAGTTCAGTAATTTCCAAATGTGTTATCTTATGCAATTTTATAATAAAATTTTCCTCCTAAGTATATCTCTAAGTTGCTCTCTGATAATACTATTGGAATAAACTCTCAGAACTAAAATGACAGGGTCAAAAGCATTAAAATTCGAATTTTCTATGTAGGGTAGAGCTCAAAAAATTGTCTGAATGTGCACTCCCCCTGAGCTGAATGCACTATGGCTCATTTTCCTATATCTGCATCAGCACGATGTGTACTCTATCTTGTTAATTTCTCAGGCCCCAAATCAAAATTATTCTGATGTTTGTTTGCTTTCTAAACCAGCTAAGCATCTCTTCCCACGTTTATAGGTCACTGCAAACAAGTTAAATGTTAACTGGTGCTTCCTCTTGTCCACCAGGTCTACGGCGGGGGGGTCTACCAGAAACTCACAGGAACCACTAACTGGGGCACCTCTCTGGCTTCCAGCCCAGCCGGGACTGTGCCTCTCACCTGAAAGGCACATTCTTATCTCAGAATCTGCTATCCCCTTTGCCTAAACCAATCGCCCCTTGCACCGCATAACTGCATGACTTAGTACTGCCCTTCCTGGGGTTTCCACTAAGTTAAGACCTTATCAGTGTCCTCACTTGTCTAAATGACCCAGCCAGCCTTCTCCTGCCCCTGATACTCCCAACATCCTCACCCTTCTTGATTTTTCCACAGTACTGCTTACTTATGACACACTACGTAATTTGTCTACTATTTGTATGTTCATCTCACTCCATGAGAATATAAGCACCGTGAGGGTGGTGACTCTGTTTCCTTTGTGACAGTATTCACAGAATTTAGAGCCGTGCCTGGCGCAGAGCAGACATTCAAGTTTCAACTAGATAAATGAATCCATCTAAAATCATCATGATGGGGACCTACGGAGATAAAATATACAGTATGTTTTCCCAAATGGCTTCGCAATACAACCTTTTTTTCTCGGCGATACAAAACTTAGGTTTTGGTTTAGTTGGCAATTAGTTTTTTTCATATTTTATCAAACCTACTCCTTTTTGTCTAGGTACTTCTTTGGGAACATCTATTATTTGTGTGGTAAAAATTCAAAATGCATTCTTTCCTTCACAATCAAACATCTTACCTTCCATAAACAGTGTCTGTATGATTGTTCTCTGCCTGATTTAATAGGAGCTGTTGAGAATGTCACGGCGAAAAAGAAGTATTTACTACATACATGGAGCTTATGTAAATAGATATCTAAAACACACTGCTATGTCTGAATGCTTGTGTCCCTACAACATTCATAGGTTGGAATCTTCTTTTAAGAATGTTTGTTTGTTTGTTTACTGAGAGAGGGAGTTGCAGAGACAGAGGGAGTGAGAGAATTCCAAGCAGGCTGCATGCTGTCAGTGCAGAGCTCAATACAGGACTCAATCTCACCACCCTGAGATCATGGCCTGAGCCAAAATCAGGAGTTGGACGCTTAACTGACAGAGCCACCGAGGTGCCCCCATATGTTGAAATCTTAATGCCCAGTGTGATGGTATGAGAAGGTCCTTGGGAAGTGTTTAAGGTCAGGGGGTGGGGCCCTCATGGATGGGATTAGTGCCTTATAAAAGAGGCTCCAGAGAGCTCCCCGGCCCCTTCCCACACCTGAAGACTCAAGGAGACTTCTGTTGGGGCTCCACCTGAGTGTGCCGGCATCCCGATCTCAGACTTCCAAGTAGATTTCTGCTGTTTAGAAGCCACCCAGGCTGTGCTATTTTACTAAAGCAGCCCAAACGGACCAAAACACATGCCATGTTTTACAGTGAACTAAGAATGTTAGTCCAGCCCTGTTCCCCTTTCTAGAACCATTGTGTCGATGGCTGGCATTTCCAAGCACACACTTGTCCTTGCCAGAACCTCACTTTGCATGTTAATTACCTTCTGCTTCTCCTTCGATACCAAATCAATCACCAATGCTACCAATTCTACCTCCTCATCACCAAATCCATTCTGTTCTCCCCATACCCTCTCATCAATTCCCGTCAAATGACCTGTACCTGTCATCTGAAATAGTGCATAGACTCATGCCTGGTCAACATAAATCCACATGAGTCTTCCAAAAAGTAAGCAGACCTCCATTGGAGAGACACTGCTCAGAAAGGAGTGTCAGTCATCAGCTTGCTGTTTCCTTATCTTCTGCAGAACAGGACGCACACATGTTCTCACAGTTCACCAACTCTGTTGTGTCCTTATTCCCCTCAACTTTTCCATCCAGAAGCCCATTTCCACTGAACTACCTGAGCCGTGTCAGGCGCCATGTACCTGTACACGTTCTACGTGCCTTTATGCGCACTCATTTTTCCTTCCTGGATCGACCACATACCCCACGTCCAAAACACTCGCAACTGTCTAAACCCTGATTATTCCTCGTAATAGTAGTGTTAATAATAATGATAATGATAATACTGAACAAAAACAGCAATAACAGTGGCAATATGAGCAAACCTGAGAAGAAATATTCATCTGAATGTTTTCATTTATGCTAAGAACTTGGTAAAACATTCTCATAAACATTTTCTCACTGAAGATTCAGCTCCGGTACCAGCTCCTCCAAGAAATTTTCTTTGATAATTTTTTCCCAACTACTGGGTACTCTTCCACCATGTAGTCACATGTTTTGAGAGACAGTATTTGTCAGACAGGGTCCACGCAAGACAAGAGACGTAACTCCACATGGATAAAGAGATTACACTTAACATAGAGATTTTTAAGTACAGTGCTCAAAGTCTGAAAACGAGGAAATGGGATACCAAGGGACCACGAAGGTGGCATCTGCAGGAGGCATCTACCAGTCAGCTCTAAGACTGAGGGGTGTTGACGGAAGGAGGTGAAGTTATCAAAACCAAAATGCTGCCAAATCAGGATGTGGACATCTGATGGGGGACTTGGTGGGGTAGCCATTGGTGTGTGAAAGCCTGGACACGGGAGTCCCACGAGGCAGAATCTAGACCTTTGCAGAAAGGACCCCACCAACTGCCTTCAGGGGGTGTGACGAGGCAGGTTCTGGGAGTAATGGGACAATCCCTAACCTGAAACGAAGGGAAGGGTCACTGCTGACAGGAATCAAGAAACAGGTAAATTCTTCTCTTGTCCTTATGTTTTCTTACCTCTTTCTTTGCTCCTTATTGGCAGAACCTAATGGGAGGTAGGCTGACCAAAGTAAACTGGAATTTGTAGAATTCCAGCCCCAGTATCATAGAGTATCATGCCTGGTGCTGTCCTCTGTAGCCTGTTAAGTTTATTCTGCTCCTCTCTCTCTCTCTCTCTCTCTCTCTCTCTCTCTCTCTCTCTTTTTTAATTTTTTAATGTTTATTTATTTTTGAGAGAGAGAGAGACAGAGTGTGAATGGGAGAAGGGGAGAGAGAGGGAGGCAGAGAATCCAAAGCAGTCTCCAGGCTTTGAGCTGTTAGCACAGAGCCCAAAGCAGGGCTCAAACTCGCAAGTGGTGAGATCATGACCTGAGCCAAAGTCAGACGCTCAACCGAATGAGCTACCCCAATGCTCCTTGCTTCTCTTTTCTTGATGCTACAGTAGTATTCCCATCACCACCACCACCACCACAACAACAAAACAATAAAGAGAAAAGTGGTTCATATCAGTATGACCCAGGAGTTGCAAAAGCTGAGGGAGAAACTCTGGCTGGACCTGACTCTTTTCCCTAGCCAAGCATGTGAGTGGTAGCGTTCCTGAGCTGTAAGGTGGTTGGGTCCTTTGCTGACCTTCTGTGTTTAAAAAGAACATAGGTGCTGCTTCCAAATTTCATGAAAAATATCCCATGTGCAGGAAGCTAACTGAAAATTTGCATGGAAGGAAATTCTGAGAAACTTAGCTCTAGCTTAGCTATGTTGACACAATAAAAAACTAAAAATGGGACCTGCATATAGTATAGTATAAATATGTAGTATATATGCTTATAATATGATTCATTGAGTTTCTCTTCCCTTCTGCATTCTTTTCCTAGATGCTATCATTAAATTTCATGATATATAATATCATCTATATGTAGAAATATTCTCACTGTATATACTCAACAGATTGGTCTTCTAAGTTTCACATTAATATTTAACTAATTACCAACTCACCATCTCCCTTGGAGCATAATTCCAAAATTGAATTTGCATACATTACAGGAATACCTCGGAGACACTGTGGCTTCAGTTCCAGATCATTTAAATAAAGCAAATATTGCAATAAAGCAAATATCACAATAAAGTCAATCAAATGAATTTTTGGTCTCCTTGTACATACAAAAATTATGTTTATGCTATACTATAGTCTATTAAGTGTGCAGTAGCATTATGTCTAAAAAATGCAATGTGTATACCTTAATTAAAACATACTTTATTGCTACAAAATGCTGACCACCATTGGAGCTTTTAGTGAGTCAGAATCACTGATCACAGATCACTGTAACAAATATGATAATGAAAATTTTGAAAAGTTATAAGAATCACCAAAAG